AAGAGCCTCCAGCTGAGGATCTGATGCCCCATTGCCACCGGGCCACAGTCCACTGGTGAGATGTCTCAGATTCCCGTGGAAGAGCCCATAGAACAGAAGCAATCCTGGTGAATCCTTTGGGTTTGTCTGCTGAGGGACTTTATTTGTATTTACGAGATTTTTGCTATGGGGCGTGTGTGTGCTTGCCAGAGAGACAGACAGAAAGCCAGGAACTTATCCCCCAAGTGGGATGGCCATACCCCAATCCTCCATTCTCTTCTTGGGATCTAGGGCACACATGCACATGCATCCGGCATGAGTTTTAAACCTCTGGGTTTGGGACTTGAACTGCGGTCGACTATGTGGGAGTTCATCACGCTCTCTGCTGGTCTGGAGAGAAGCACATTTTTTTTTTTTTTTAGAGGGTTTTTCTATAGGGGACATGAGCTCGCCAGACAGCACATGCGCTCGCCAGACAGACAGAGAAAGACAGAGACAGAAAGCGAGAAATCACCCCCCGGGGGGATGGCCACACTGCAATCCCTTCTCCTCCATTCTCCTCTCGGGATCTTGGGCATGCACGCATACGCACCCGGTGTGAGTTTAACCCACCAGGTCCAGGACTCAAACCATAGTCGGCTACGCGGGAGTCCAGTGACGTAGCCATTACGCTAACTGCTGGTCCTGTAGCTAGGTTTTATTGAGCACCTACTGGATGTCCATCATGGGTCCATATGCGTTAGGGCCTCTAAGGTGATGCAGGACAAGAGTGTCCCTAGAGAATCCTATCGGGGCTGTTACAGTTGGGGTGCGAGCTCTGGGAAGCACGGGCACCCTTCATCTCTCATGGAGCCGAATGAGTTAAGGCTTTTCATTCTGGTGAACCCATCACATGTGACCTTCCCTTCAGCAGGTGAGAAAAAGTTCAGGTGGAAATCAGGAAACAGAACAAGAGGTTCTGTCTGGGTGTCTCTGGGGACTGAAATGGGGACTCTGGAAGCTGAGTGTTCTGTTGAAAACAGGGCACTTCCTCCCGGCTGTGGGATGCGGGCAGGGCAGGGGGTGGGAAGAGGTCTTTTGCCACCAGTTGGGAGCTGGAGGTGAACTTAGAGAAACCTCAGAAGCAAGATACCCACTGCCGACCATGGTGGGCAGGGAGGGTCTGCAGGCTTGAGGTCATGGGCAGGTGCTGCCCTGGTACCCATGTGCCCAGGGGCAGCGTTTTATTGTCACCAGGCAGGGGCTGGTGTGAGTGAACTTGGGCTCCTGGACTTGGCCTGAAATGCCTCCAGCCAGACCCAAGTGGCTGAGCACCTCTGAGTGAGCCGTGGGAGTGCTGGTACCCGAGTGCACATGAGCCCCAAGTCCAAATCCGACTCTCAGAAATTGATTGGTTGGCCTGGGAGTTCAGGGCTCAGGAGTTCTGGGCCGATGTCCTTGCCCTGGATGCGAGGAATCGAAACTAGGAGAGGACCGAGCCAGCCTTTCTCCTTCTTCTTCTTCTTCTTCTTCTTCTTCTTCTTCTTCTTCTTCTTCTTCTTCTTCTTCTTCTTCTTTTTTATTTTTTATTTTTTGAGATTTGCTATAGGGTGCATATGCTACAAGAGAGATTGAGAGAAACAGCGAGACAGAAAGCAAGAAACGCCCCCCCCCCCCCCCGGGGAGGGGATAATTCACTCCCTTACCCAGGGAGGATGGTCATGTGGCAATTCCTTCTCTTCCATTCTCCTCTTGGGATTTTGAGCACATGCACACACGTGCCCCTTTGTGAGTTTCGAGCTGCCAGGTCTGAGACTTGAACCTTGGGTAACCACACGGTAGTCCAATGCCTTCACCACTACACTACATGCCGGCCCTTGAGTCAGCTTTTTTCCCAGGTAGTCAGGCTGACAATTTTGCACTTTTGCATAGAAAAATACATCATGACTTTCCCAGTCACCTAATCCATGACATCGTGAGCTCTCGGGGCCTGTCTTGGGTCATCTACTTTGCATTGAATTTGGAAATGTTTTGTTGAGCAGCTACTGTGTGCCAGGCACGGTTCTAGACACTGAGGATACCTCCTGGGCTGTCATCCACAGCAGGCAGATGAAGTCAACAAATACAGAAATCGTGATGCATTGTAAGGGGTAGCCACTATGGAAAAAGTACCCCCCCAGCCCCAGACATTCCTGGTGGGGAAGGGCCTTGGAGCAACCAGGCTGGAAAATGATTTGGCTTGCTCCCGTTTAAGGAAACACATTTGTACCCTGTGGGCCAACCATTCTACAACAAGGGACAGACATTCTTGCCCATATGCACAGGGATCCCAGAAAGGGTGTTTATAGCAACTCTGTCCACCGCGGCTGGAACTGGGAAGCCACCCAAGCAACCCAGGTGCCCAGCTTTGGGAGAGCACGTGAATAAACTGTGGTTTAATTCCCGCAGTGAGATATCACCCCGCACCTCAGAGGAGGCACCACGGCACACGCCACCTCGTGGACAGTGTTCTGAAACAGAGTCTTCAGCACTAAGAGTCCCTTGGAGCCAGCAGGTGGCATAGTGGTTAAGGTGCTGGATTCCCCCCATGGGCAACCGCAGTTTGAGTCCTGGACCCGGCGACTTGAAACTCACACCAGACAAATGTGCGTGCGTGCCCCGAATCCCGAGAGGGAATGGAGGAGAACGGATTGCAGTGTGGTCATCTCCACTGGGGGGTGATTTTTCACTTTCTCTCCCTCGGTCTCTCTCTGTGTCTCTGGTGAGCACATGTACCCAATAGCAAAAATCTCTCACTAAAAAAAAAAAAAAAAAGAGGGTCCAACAGATGATAAGGTGACAAGGTGCCGGACTCCCACATGGCTGACTGAGGTTTGAGTCCCAGACCTGGAGGCTTGCTTTCTCACTGTCCCTTTTTGTCTCTCTCTGGTCAAATTAAAAAAATAAATAATAATAGCAAATAAAATAAATCATTCTTTTTTTAAAAAAAGAAGTACCCCTTACATTGAAACACGACCCCGCCCCCCCCTTTTTTTTATTTGCCAGAGGGCACATTTGCTCGCTGGAGAAAGAGACAAAGAGACAAAGAGAGGGAGAGAGGAAGGGAGACAGCATCTCTCCCAATGGGGCCTGTTCACACTGCAATCCCTTCTCCCTCTCTCCTGTCGGCATTCTGGCTACACACGCTCCCGGTGTGTTTCTCAAGTCGCCGGGGTTAGGGCTTGAATCACATGGTTGGTCACATGGGATCTGGCTCCCTTAACTACGACTGGGTTATGAGGCTGGTTCTGACTCCCTTTTTAAAAAGTTAAAGACAGCTAAAATGATACAGACATGCGATAATAAGCTATAATAAAAAAGGGAATAAATACGGGCCAAGGATGAAAGTGGGAGAACATGCAGCTGAGAGCTGCGGGAAGCCTCACGGGGACACTGAGTTATTGTCAGTGTCTTACCTTTTGTTCTGGGCTGAGGTTTCACAGGTGAGAGGACACGGGAGTGGGTGCAGAGTGCCCCCTGGTGGCCAATCTTATTCATTGTTTGACTGCTGGAGGGACCTCCAGGTAATTTATTTTTATTTATTTTTAATCACAGTAAAAAAAAAAAAAAACCGCCTAACATAACATAAACCACCTTAATCATTTCTAAGTCTATAGTGCTGTAGCATTCTGTGTATTCATTTGCTGTGCAATCCACCTCCGGAATTTTTTCACCTTGCCAAACTGGAACTTCCTGTCCCCAGCAAAGTATAAGTGAAATAACTCAGTACTTGTCCTTCGATAACTGCCTTATTTCACCTTAACATAGTGTCCTCAAGTTCGCCCATGCTGTAGCGTGTGTTAGGATTGAGGCTGGGAAGCTATGGACACACCCACATGACTGACCACGGTTCAAGTCCTAGACCTGGTGGCTTGCTTTCTCACATTCTTTCTCTCTGTCAAATGAAAATAAAAACAAATAAATAAATAAATATATAAATAAAACTCATCCGCAATACACAGAACCACTTTTTTTTAGCTACATATGTTTGCATGCTTTTTAGGGTGCATGTGCTCACTGGAGAGAGACAGAGAGAGAGAGAGAGAGAGAGAGGGAAAGTGAGAAATCACCCTCCAGGAGGAATGACCACGGTACAATCCCTTCTCTATTCTCCTCTCAGGATTTTGAGCATGCACACACACGTACCCAGTGTGTTTTTTTTCAAGCTGCCAGGTCCAGGACTTGAACTGCAGAGTCAGCCATGTGGGATCCAGCTGTCTTAACCACCATACCACCTGCTGGCCCAGTACCATGTATTTTTTTTAATTCATTCATTCATTGGTAGACACTTGAGCTGCTTCCACCTTTGGCCGTCAGGAATGGTGCTGTTTAGAGCAGGGGTATGCAAATGTCTCTTCAACACCCTGCTGTGAGCTCTTTTGGGAATATGCCCGGAAGTGGGATTGCTGATCACGCGTGCTATCGACTGAACCATGTTCCCCAGGACATATGTTGAAGCCCTAACCTCCAGTGTGACTGTATTTGGAGATCAGGCTTTTAGGAGGTACTTGTGTTAAATGAGGTCATGAAAATGGAGTTTTGAGGCCACCAGGTGGCGTGATAGTTAAATTACTGGATTCCCAAAGTCTTTTTTTTTTTTTTTTTGTATTTATTTGTCTGTCTGTTTTTTTGTTGTGATTTTCAAGCCACTAAGTCTGAGACTTGAATCTCAGTTGACTATGTGGGAATCCAGCACCCAAACCATCATACACCTACTGGCCCCAAAATGGAGTCTTTTTATTTATTTATTTTTTAATTATTTTATTGGTTTTGCAGACACCACTGCCCGAGTCTCTCACCTTTTTTAAAAAAAATATTATTTTATTTAACTTTATTTATTATTATTATTTTCCAGTTTGATCAGAGAGAGACAGAGAAAGAGAGAGAGGGAAAGTGAGAAAGGAAGCCACCAGGTCCAGGACTTGAACCATGGTCGGCCATGTGGGAGTCCAGCACCTTTACCACCATGCCACCTGCCAGCCCCGAGTCTCTCACCTTTAACCATGGTCCACCCCACTGTGTTCTTCAACATCACTGCTGATGGCGAGCCCTTGGGCTGCATCTCCTTCCAGCTGTTTGCAGACAAAGTTCCCAAGACAGCAGAAATCTCTTGTCCTTAGAGCACTGGAGAGAAAGGATTTGGAAAATCCTGTCTTTGGAAGATCTCTGTCTTTCTCTTTCTGAAATTATGAAAGGAGTTATGAAATTAGGAAAGAGTTCCTGCTTTCACCGAATTACTCCAGGGTTTACGTGTCAGGGTGGCAACGTCACGCACCCTCATGGTACTGGCGACAAGTCCATCTATGGTGAGAAGTTCGATGAGAACTTCATCTGGGAACATTCAGGTCCTGGCATCTTGTCCATGGCAAATGCTGGACCCAATACAAATGGTCCTCAGTGTTTCACCGGCACTGCCAAGACGCAGCCGTTGGGTGGCAGGCAAGTGGTCTTTGGCAGGGTAAAAGTGGGTATGAATATCGTGGAAGCCATGCAGTGCTTCGGGTTTAAGAATGGCAAGACCAGCAGGAACATCGCAATGGCTGATTGGGAACAACGATAAATTTGATTTGTTTGCTCTTAACCACCAGACCCTTCCTTCTGTAGCTCAGGGGAGCACCCTCCACCCCATCTGCTCACCTGTAATCTGTAACCTGTGCTCTCGCTGCAGTTCTTTGGGGCCCATATTTTCCTTTCTCCCCTCCGAATCTAGCTGAATTGCAAAGTTAAGTTTATGATCATGAAATAGAAACTAAGCAACAAAAAAAGCATGACTTTATTTAACTTTAGTTACTATTATTATTTTTTAAATTATTTATTTAATTTTATTTATTCATTCACTCATTTTAATTTGACGAAAGAGAGAGGGGGACAGAGAGAGAGAACAAGCCGCCAGGTCTGAGACTTGAACCATGGTCGGCTATGTGGGAGTGTCCAGCGCCTTAAACGCCATGCCACCTGCTGGGCCCCACTATTATTATTATTTTCCAGTTGGATCAGAGAGAGATAGAGAGAGGGAAAGTGAGAAAGCAAGCCCCCAGGTCCAGAATTTGAACCGTGGTTGGCCATGTGGGAGTCCAGCACCTTTAACAACCACACCACCTGCTAGCCTCCCAAAATGAAGTCTTTATCCAACAGAATTGATGGCTTTCTGAGCAGAGAAAGAAGCAGAGATCTCTGTCTTTCTCTTTCTGAAATTATGAAAGGAGGGGAGGCCCTGTGAACGCACAGGGAGAAAGAAGGCGGCCTGTCTACAGCCAATCAGAGAGCGCTCTCTGGATCCGAACCACGCCCACAACCGGAGCTCCGCCCTCCAGCCGCCAGCAGGTGAGAAATGGAGTCCCCCTATCTAAGCCTCCCAGCCTGTGACCCCGGGCACCGGCAGCCAAGCTGACTAATACGATATGGCCACTATATTTTTAGCTGTGAGAGGACGCATCCCAGTGCTTTTCATAGCAACGGCACCGTTTTGTATTCCCACCAACAATGCACGGACCTCGCAGTTGCTCTCCATCCTCCCAGCGCTTGTTATTTTCCTGGTTTTTTGTTTTGTTTTGTTTTCTCTCAGTAGCTGCCATCGAATGGGTTTTTCCTTTTGGCCATTCAGTGAGGCTGCTGTGTGAGCAGCAAAAGGCCGAGTTTGTCCCAAGCTTTCCTGTTAGCCCAGTGGGTAACCATGTTTTACAGAGGAGGACCCTGAGGTGCAGGGGGATGAGTTACCCCGTATCGCCAGCAAGGGAGAGCTTGGTGCATCAGAGGCTCCACTGCGGGTCTGTCTGATTCTAAGGATGAGGATCTTACTTCCATTAATCAATTAATTAATTAATTGGAGAGGTTTTTTTCACCAGAAAGACAGAGAGACGAAGAGACAGAGAGATACCCCCCCACGGCGGTTGGCCATGCTGCAACCCCTTCTTCTCCATTCTCCTCTCGGGATCTTGGGCACGCATGCACACGCGCCCGGTGTGAGTTTAAGCCACTGGTTCCGGGATTCGAACTGCAGTTGACTACACGGCAGTCCAGCGACATAGCCATTACGCCATCTGCTGGTCCCCATTCATTTATGTTTTTATTTTGAGAGATTTCTGCTATTGGGAGCGTGTGCTTGCTGGAGAGACAGAGAGACAGAAAGCAAGAAATCACCCCCCGCCCTGGGGAATGTCCACGCTGCAACCCCTTCTCCCCCATTCTCCTCTCAGGATCTTGGGCATACACGCATACATGGCTGGTGAGAATTTTAAGTCGTTGGGCCCCGGGACTCAAACTGTGGTTGATCACTTGGGAGTCCAATGACATTACCATCACGCCATCTACTGGTCCTGAGGATCTTATTTAAAAACAAACAAACGAACAAACAACCCAAAAAACCTGCTATAGTGTGCTTGCTGGGCGTGGGGAGAGCTCCCGTATCCCCCAGGGGGGATGGCCACACCACAATTCCTTTTCCTCCATTCTCCTCTTGGGATTTTGGGCACACACATGGGCCTGTTGTGTTTTTCAAGCCACCAGGTCCAAGACTTGAATCATGCAGTCAGCTCTGTGGGATCCAGCCACCTTAACCCCCGCGCCCCAAGCAGGACCTAAAGACAAGGATCTTAATGTCACCTCAGGGTCATAAAATGGCTGCTGAGGCTCCAGAAATCACAATTTCAGACGACAGTGTCCCAAGCAAGAGGGAAGAAAGAAGATCGAAAGAGTCTTTTCCAGCGCACCTCTCTCCTAGCAGGAGACGGTCTTCCCAGAATCCCTAAGTAGCTCTCCTTTATGTTTAATCAGCCACACTGGGTCACCTGCTCACCTGGAGACCACTCATTGGCTAGGGGCACAGGCCGTCAGGAATGGTTTAGGCCAATCACAGCTCATCCCCTGGGACTGGGTGGAATTCAGGGAGCAAGGCAAAAGGGGGCAATGATTGGTGGGTTAAACCCTCCACGAGGGCACATGTGGTTCAGTGAACTTCAGTGGGGACTGGAGTCCCACGAAGGGAGGCGGTGTGTAAGGTTGGGCTGGCCGTCTCCGGTAGGACTGGCTTTCACGGTCGGCTTGCCCAGTGCCCTTGATGGCTAACAGGCTCTCTGGGGGACGTCTCCTGGTTAAGTACCGGGGTGACCCAAGTACAGAGAAGGGAGCGGCTATCACCAGCCGCTGTCCTCCCTGCTGTGACCATCTGGTTCTCTGCCATGGCCTCCCAGCCTGGGCTCTGGCCAAGCCTCTGACACCTGGCTAGCCATCTGCTGTTCACCTAGAAGCTGAGTCTGCAGGGGGACCTTGGAGGACATACCAGGAGGTTCCCCCAGCATGCAGGAGATTGTGGGGAGACACTGAGGGGGAGGGACTCTTGACTCTGAGGTTAATGTCCCAAGAAAGTCATGGATATGTGAAATGGCCTAAGAAATTCGATGCTGTGCACCTGCACCGGCTTCTAGCCCCTGTCTCCAGCTTCAAAGCCACTAGCATAGCATCTGCAGGCTCTCTGCTCCCTTTGCCCCCTCCCCTGTCCTCACTCTGCCCCTTTACCTCCAGGAAGAGAGGGGAGCACCCCCCAGGGTCTGCCACCTTGCCATCCCCTTCCTTCAACCCTCCGGCCGTCTGGTCTTGAGCATGCGTGCACGAGCCCAGTGTGTGGTAGGCTGGCTGGGCCAGGGATTCCAACCACGGTCATCGTGCTGGGCATCTGGCTTCCCTCTTTATTAATTTTAAAGAGAGAAGGTGAGAAATCTCTCCCCAAGGGGGATGGTCATACCGCAATCCCTTCTCCTCCATTCTCCTCTGAGGGTTTTTTTAGGCATGCACACGCACATGCCCAGCATGAGTTTTAAGCCTCTAGGTTCAGGACTTGTGGCCAGGATCCGGCTTCTCTCTCTCTCCTTTTTTAAAAAAAATTTTCTTTCTTTCTTTTTATTCATTTTTTAAAAAATGGTTTATTTTCCTTTTTTAACAATTATTTTATTTAACTTCATTTACTTACTTATTTATTTTAATTCGAAGGTGTGTGTATGTGTGTGTGTGTGAGAGAGAGAGAGATATGGAAAGTGAGAAAGCAAGCCACCAGGTCTGGGACTTAAACCATGGTTGACCAGGTGGGAGTCCAGAGCCCTTAACCACTAAGCCACCTGCCAGCCCCACTTCTCTCTCCTTTTTTTGCTACATGCTCGCCAGAGAGACAGAGAGAGACAGAGAGACAGAAAGCGAGAAATCACCCCTTGGGCAGGGGTGCCCTTGCCACAATCCCTTCTCCTCCATTCTCTTCTTGGGATTTTGGGCACGCACACAATGTGCCTGGTATGAGTTTTAAGTCATCAGGTCTAGGACTCGAACTGTGGTCGACGAAGTGGGAGTCCAACAACGTAACTGTTATGCCATCTGCTGGTCCCTCGCTCAGCTTACTGCAGCAGTGGAGGATTCCTGGGGAAGCACGCCCAGTCCTCTGAATCAAGCAGGGCAGTGAGGCGTACATTGCCCATTAGCAGGGACCTTTGGACTCAGAGCAGCTTCGAAATAGCAGGGCCAGTCAGCCCCTAGAATGAGGTTTGCTAATAAAGTTTCTGCCTTGGCAGGGGGCCTGTCCTGGCTGTTCACTGCAGGAGACTTGGAGGACACAGGCATTGGGGAAGAGGTAGAAAAACTCTGAGCCTGGGACCAGCAATTGGTGTAATGGCTATGTCGCTGGACTTCCATGTAGTGGAACGTGGTTTGAGTCCCGGACCCAGTGGCTTAAACTCATGCCAGGCGCGTATACATGCGTGCCCCAGATCCCGAGAGGAGAATGGGAGGAGAAGGGATTG